CGTGTCCCGTGCTCTGTTCCCGTCCTCTCTACCCGTGTCCCGTGCTCCGTTCCCGTCCTCTGTACCCGTGTCCCTTGTCCCGTTCCCGTCCTCTGTACCCATGTCCCTTGTCCCGTACCAGTGTTCCGTGTCCCGTACTCGTACCAGGTTCAGATTGTCCTCTCTGGCTATTCACGTAATGCAAACCTGCTGCAGGTTTTTAAAGGAAAAGCATACGCATGTAGAACCAGGTGAAGGATCTGCATCATTTAATGGTTTCTAACTTAACCTGTGAGAGGGTTCAACACTCTGCCTCTGTTCCTGAGCAGCCGGTGGTGAAGTTGGAGGAGGAGGAGCTGTCGGAGCTGCAGCTGCGCCTCCTCGCTCTGCAGTCGGCCAGTAAGAAGTGGCAGCAGAAGGAGCAGCAGGTGATGAAGAAGAGCAAAGAGCGGATCACTAAAGTCCAAGAGAAGAGCTCCCCTCCTCCCAGCAGGCAGAGGGTCACCACCAGGTCCGCCTCCGCCGCTGCCGCTGCAGAGAGGAACCGAACCAGGTCCAAACCTCTGGACAGGGACCGAGACAGAACCAAGACCGTCCCCAGACCGCCTGACAGAGACAGAGAGAGACCCAAAGCCAGTCCTAAACTTGGTCCCAAGGCTCTGCTGGAGAGAGGCCGAGGTCCAGGGAAAGCCCACATGGCCAAGAAGATGATAAGTCCAGGTGAGAAGAAGAGTACAGTGGAGACATTAGTTGTGTGGTGGTGATGATGGTGGATGGTGATAATAAAACATGGTGGTGGTGATGATGATGATGATGATGATACTCAGGCTCGGTGGCGAAGCAGGCGTTCAGGAAGCAGCAGCTGAGGACGTGGAAGCTGCAGCAGCAGAGAGACCAGGAGGAGAACCGGAGACAGGAAGAGGAGGAGAGACGCAAACGAGAAGACGAGATCCGACGGATCCGAGATCTGTCCAATCAGGACGAGCAGTACAACCGCTTTATGAAGCTGGTGGGGGGGCAGACGAGGACCCGCAGCAAAGTAAGACCATGTCCTGTCTGTAGTCTGTAGTCCTGCAGTCACCTTTATTATATGTATCCAGAGACTAGCTTTATTATTGATGACATCATCATATTAACCACCACAGAAGAAGAGTGACAGGAAGTGTGTTGTTTCTGTGCTTCAGTCCAGAGATGGAGAACACAGGAAGTCTGCCGGTAAGCAGGGACCGGACGCCTCTGGGAACCTGTACCAGTACGACAACTATGACGAGGTCGCCATGGACACGGACAGTGAGACGGGATCACCAGGTGAGACCCAGACAGGTACTGCACCTGTCCTCTTAGTGGAGACTGCACCTGTCCTCTCAGCGGAGACTTCATGAATAAAGTTCTGACTTCCTGTTTTTGTTTCAGTGGCGTCACCGAAACATCAGCTGACCTCAGAAGATCCAGCAGGTTTCCCTCAGATGTCTCCTTATGTCCCCGACTGTCTTCAGTTTGGACTGGTACGCTCTTCATCTCCTCCCTCCTCTTCGTCTCTCCACTTCCTCTCTGCTATTCCTCTTTATTTGTAAACATGAATGTATTGTCTCCACACTCGTCATAAAGAAGGTTTAATATTGTCTCTTCTTCGTCTCAGCCGTTTCTCTCCCCCATGATGTCGGTGGTTCCTCCCCCACCTCCCCCTCTCCCCCCACCACCAGACGAGCCGGAGCCTCCTCCCAAACCTCCCTTTGCTGATGAGGAGGAGGAGGAGGAGATGCTGTTGAGGGAGACGTGTCTGATGTCCATGGCCAACAAGAGGGTGACGTCCACAGAGGTGAGACATTGTGTCCTCTTGTCTCTCTGTGATGAACCTCATCTCTTATTTCACCTCTTGTCTCTCCCCAGGGCACCGGTTCTAGTGGTCCTCCGTCTCCCACCGGTCCTCCGGTCCTTCAGCAGCCAATCAGAGGGAACCTGAGCACCGTCAGTCTGAACACCGTCACCCAATCACGAAGCAGCAAATTCAGCAGAGGACACCACGCTGCTAGAGCTCCACTGGTGGTGAGGAGGAGGAGAGAGGGAGGATGATGATGAAGGTCATTATGATGATGATGATGAAGATGATCTCTGTCTCCTTCCAGCTCCCCAGACACAAGTCCGTGGTGGTTTCTCTCATCGACTCAGACGACAGTGACTCAGACGTGGACCAATGCAGCTCCTCTCAGACCTTTGGAGGACTGGAGTCCATGATCAGAGAGGCTCGGAGGACAGTGGAGGTGAGACATGGTCAGAGGGGACGGTGGAGGTAGAGGGCACTAGATGACATAGAGGACCTTTACAGACCTGAGGATCGCGGTGGTTTTTGAAGTCAGCTAATTTAGATGAATCTCTGTGATGGTAAAAATACACCGTGTCCCCTGATGAAGACAAGGAACTAATATCAGCCTGTTGTGCTGGTCCTCAGGCGGCGAAGCCTAAAGCGGCATCGGGCTGTGAGAAGGAGAACAACCCGGTCAGGACTCCTGAGGCTTTACCTGAAGGCAAGAGGGCCGAGTACCGCCTCCTCAAAGAGGAGATCGCCAGGTAAACACGGCACCCAGAGACACGCTCACGTCTCTGTGGACATGTCCAACACTCTCTGTCCTCTGTGTCCTCCTGCAGCAGGGAGAAGCAGAAGATGATAAAGGACCACGGTCCTCGGAGCTCCTCGTCCCCCTTCATCTCCGACTCGGTGCCGGACCCGTCCGTCAAAGCGTCCGCAGAGCTGAGGGCGACCGAGGCGGAGCAGAGACTCAACAAGCACAGGTGAGACCCTTAGAGCTGGTCCAGGTCCTGGTCCTCTTAGCGTTCATCGAGGTAAATACTGGTCCGTCTCCCCCGTGTTTCTCAGAGAGCTGCTGCAGAGGGACGAGACCGTCCTGAGACATCTGCTCCACCAGGAGCTGAAGAAGAGGGACTCTCTGAAAGCTGCCGAGGCCAAAGTGGTGAAGCTCCGAGAGCAGCTGCAGGCGTCTGAGAAGATCGTCAACGCCAACAAGACGCTACTGAAGAAGCTGCAGGAGCAGGTTAGAGACAATTGAGTTCAGACCTAACGGTGAGACGTGATACTGAGTGAGTCCCAACTAGTGATCTGTCCTGTAGCGGAGTCCCTGTAGCGGAGTATCTGTATCTGAGACTCAGCCACTGTATAAGAGTCCTGTAGCTTGAGTCCCGTATCTGAGTCCTGCTGGTTCATGTCTTGTGCAGGTGCATCGTGTGGAACATCGGGTCTCCATGAAGAAGTGTCTGTCCGTCCACTTGGAGCAGGACCTGTCTCAGGCTCAGCTGGCTGCAGGAAGAGGGTCCAAACGCAGAGCGGACTCCAACCAGACTCTGGTGAGAACGACACGATGAGACACAAGGGTCTAGTAGGCCAGGATCAGGATTTGGGTTTAGTGAGGTACTTCAGGGTTATAACAGCTGGTAATAAATGACAGACGGTGTGAATGTGCTTCATCTGGAGTCTTCTTAGTCTCAACATATACAAGTATTATAATAATAATAATATAAACGTTGATCATATGAAAATGTGTAATAGTGTAGATCTGAGTGATTCAATGAAGAATGTAGATGAGTCTACGACACTAATCAATAACTGTTGTAAAGCTGCTGATTGTTGGTGGTGAACCTCCTGATCATAGATATTGATCAGAGTGATTTTCTGAGTCCTCATGTCCCCCTTGTCCTCTCAGCCCAGTAAGTTGCAGCGAGTGGATGTAGGTCTTCGTGGATCCGAGCGCCACTTTGCTGAGCTGATCGCTCAGAAGCAGCGTCTGCAGCAGCTAGAGTCTGAGTACGCTCTGAAGATCCAGAAGCTGAAGGAGACCCAGGCCCTGTGCAACCGAGGACCCCCATCAGAGCCTCCGCCGCGGGCCTCCACCCAATCTGAGCCCCAGACCCTGACACCGACTCCCCCCTTCCCCCTGCCCCAGCCCTCCCTGCACGACCTGACCCAGGACAAGCTCACCCTGGACAGCGAAGACGTCCCAGAGGCCGAAGATCATGAAGCAGAACCAGCTCCTGCGTCGGCTAAAGCGACCCGCCGGAACTCCCTCCGTCAGTCCAGTAGCTCCTTCACCAAACCCAACCTGGAGCTGCTGAGCTCCAACCCCGCCAAAGAACCCAAACCCAACCTGGAGCAGCTGAGCTCCACCCCCGCCAAAGACCCCAAACCCATCCTGGAGCAGCTGAGCTCCACCCCCGCCAAAGACCCCACCACCAAACCCGCCAAGGGCTCGGCTAGCTGCAGGTCTCCTGCAGAGATGTTTGCGGGTCTGGACCTGGAGGCCCTGAAGCTTCGGTACCAGCAGCAGGCCCGGCTGGGAGAGCTGCTGCAGAAGGAGCTGCAGACGGTGGGGGGTCACGTCCACGGCCCCCCCACCGCTGGACAGGTGAGTTCCTGAGACACATGGACACCAACTAACTATGATCATCCTGTCCCTGTTCTCATGTCTTAGTTTCTGAATATGAAACAAGTCAGCGTGTCTCCATCTCTGTGCAGGTGGTCTCAGTGGAGGTGGAGTCAGCCAACAGCCAATTAGGGAGCTCAGAGCTGAAGCCTGTTCCATATGGACCCTATCACAGTCCTCTGCTGGTCTTCAGGTCTTACAGGTAAATTAGTTAATTTGTCTCAGATGTGAGGTTTGATGAACATGTCTCATGTGGTCTCTGTCTCAGATGTGATGAACCTGTCTCTGTCGCAGGTTCAGTCCATACTACAGGACCAAGGAGAAGTTGTCTCTGAGCTCCGTCTCATTCAGTAATGCGATAGAAGCCCGGAGGAGTTTCTGTCGCTTTGACCTCACAGGAACCTGCAACGACGACGAGTGTAGATGGTGAGGACAGACTTTTCATTCAAGTTTATTCTTCTGGTCTCTCATGGTTTCATCTGGTCTCTCATGGTTTCATCTGGTCTCTCTGCAGGCAGCACATGAGGAACTGCACTCTGACTGGAAACCAGCTGTTCCAGGACCTCCTGTCCTACAACCTGCCTCTGATTGGCTGCTCTGAAGTTAGCTCTGACGAGGACGTGGGCATCTCCACAGGTGGGCATCAGACCGACGGGTTCTTCAGACCCAGAAGGTCTCAGGTAGACGTTTCTTCACCTGTTTCTGTTGTCGTTGTAGAAAAGTACATGAAGAAGTTGTTCGGCTCCAACAAAGACCGGATGGGCGTCGACCAGAAGGCCGTCCTCCTCGTCAGCAAAGTGAACGAAAGCAAACGACACAGTGAGGAACCTTTTTCTTTTACCTCATCATCATCATGTCCTCTGACCCGTCTGTCCTCTGACCTGTCTGTCCTCTGACCCGTCTGTCCTCCTCCAGTCCCCCCTTTCACCACCTGTAAAGACACCAGGACGTGGAGGCCGAAGCCATCAGCACAGAGCAGCTTTGGCCCGGAGGACAACAGCGAGGATGAGTCTGCAGGAGGACACCTGTCGACGAGGAGACACGGTGAGAGACAGACAGGTTCAATGTAGAGAGAGGCAGCTGATCACTCAGATTATAGGATGTGAAGCCATGTATCAAACATGTTGGTAAGGTTTAGTTGAACCTCATCTCCTATAATAAACTTCGACCCTGAAGGACAAAAATGTCCCATTGACAGTTGAAAATATTATTTCATATTCTCTTGCCCACTGGGGATCAGTAACGTGATTGATTGTACTGTAATGCTATAAACCCTGTTGCTGATCAGATGATGTCTGTCTCTCTGTCCAGACGGCGTCTGTAAAACCAGCCTCTCTGCTCTGGACGTTTGCGTCACATCGGAGGACAAACGGTATTTCGTCAGTGAGACGGACGACATATCGAACCTGGAGACCAGCGTTCTGGAGAGTCCTGGAGACCCTCAGCTGTGGATCAAGTTAGCCTTCAAGTACCTCAACCAGAACGACACGTGGGTTCTAATGTTCTCTAAGAACCTCATGTTCCTCTGTAGGTCTGTTCTCTTTAAATGAGAACCTCATGTTCCTCTGCAGGTCTGTTCTCTTTAAATGAGAACCTCATGTTCCTCTGCAGGTCTGTTCTCTTTAAATGAGAACCTCATGTTCCTCTGCAGGTCTGCAGCAGAGTGTTTGGAAGCAGCCTTGAACACGTTGTCTCGAGCTCTGGAGAGTAACTGTGAGAACCCTGAGGTGTGGAGCCACTACCTGTCCCTGTTCTCCAGGAGAGGCAGCAGAGAGGAGGTCCAGGAGATGTGTGAGATGGCTGTGGAACACGCTCCAGACTACAAAGTGTGGTGGAATGTAAGAAAGAACCTGATCTTCACACAGAATGTCCACTTCACTTTGTGTTAACCCCTGACCTGTCGCCCTGACCTGTCTGTATCTTCCTCTCAGTACCTGAAGCTGGAGAGCTCTTTCGAGGGGAAGGACTACGTGTGTGACCGTCTACTCCGGTTTCTGGTCTCTGAAGCTTCTCCTGCCGTGACTGACCGACTATCCTTCCAGCTGATGGAGGCTCTGCTCTACAGAGTCCAGCTCAACCTGTTCACAGGCCGCATGGAGAGCGCTCTGGCTATCCTCCAGGTGAGTGGAGGTCTGTGATCCTGTGCTCAGGTAGATGGTGGACGTGAACATAAAGCTTGTGTTTGTGTTGCAGAACGCTTTGAAGTCGGCCCACGACAGGAGCATCGCCGAGCATCTGAGGGCCAGCGACCGGGCGCTGCTGTGGCTCTCCTACATCCACCTGACGGAGTTCGACCGGCTGCCGGCCGGCCTGCTGGACCCGGCCGAGTCCGGTCCGTCCCGGCTGGTCAGCAGAGAGTCCTTCCTGCTGCCCTGGAGGACGCCGCAGGATGTCAGCACGCCGCTCCACATCCTGGTGGCTCTGTTCAGAGGTACGGAGGCTCTTCTGTTTGTTCTGGTTCTATAAATGTTCTTCTTCTTCTTCCCCTCTAAGAAACAGAACTCTTCTCTTTGTTCTGGTTCTATAATCGTTCTTCTTCTTCTTCCCCTCTCAGACGCCGTCCATCAGTGCACCGATGAGTCTCTGACTCTCAGCCAGAGGACGATGGCCTGCCTTCCTCTTCACACCAACCTCATCTTCCTCTACAAGCTGCTGGACAGGTGAGGGGGGGCAGTGTTCTATCTGCTGACAGGAACTGATGACTTTTGATTTATCTTCATCAGCTTTAGAACCGTGTTGATATTATGTTCATGTATTGATTAGGGCTGTCGTTTGAACAGGTGTGATGAGGGCGTGGCTCTGTGTCGGTCTCTGCTGGATCTCTGTCCCGAGTCCTGCGCCCTGAGAGACGCTCTGGCCGACCTCCACATCAGGCAGGGAGACCTGGATCAGGCGGTCAGCATGTGGCTTCACGCTCTGGCAGAGTGTCCCAACAATGCTGAGGTCTTCTACCACTCCTGCAGGTTCCTCATGGCTCAGGTGAGCTCCAGGTGGTTCAGGGTCACGGGGTGCAGCTTCATCCTGGTCAAATAGAGGTGTTTTTAAATGTTTAAATGTGGTCTGACAGGAGAAGTCCGGTGCCATCGCTCCTCTGTTCCGAGGCTTCGTCCTGTCTCTGTGTGAGGACCAGCAGAGCCAGAAGAAGCCGGTGGACGTTCTCAGGTACATGATGGGATACTGAACTGAATGTTAAACATGTGGAGGACTTTTAAAGAGTTACACTTTGTTGTTTTGCTCCCTTCAGACACGTCCTGGGTTTCCCCACCGAGGAGCTGCTGAGAGGTCCCATCATCAGGGAGCTTCAGGAGCAGCTGAGTCAGCAGATGTCCTCCCTCCACCTCATCCACTGGTGAGTCTCCATCTGTTCATGATGAGAAGAAGTCTTTGTTACAGACGTCATGAACGTTTCTTCTCTAAATCTGTTTTCATGACAGGAAGGTTTGACATGTAGCTTGTAGTCATGTTGACCTATCGAGATATTTCTGACATTAGAGAGACTCAGAATATCTCATTACCTGGATTCATATTTGTATCTGTCACCAAAGATGTTCAACAGGCGAGTCTACAGAACATCATCATGAAATATATCACATATGTTATTTATGAATCGGGTTAAAGTTTACTTATTGTATTGAATCTGTGTTGTTGTTCCAGTCGCTGGCAGTGGCTTCACGGCTCTGTAGACGAGACGGTGGACGCCTTTGAGAGAGCTCTGGGGTCAACTATGCAGCTGGAGGAGCTTCATAAACTCTGGATGGAGTAAGTGTTACATCACCTGTATCACCTGTCTACAGTGACCTGGTGTTCATTGTGCCTCTGTCTACAGTGACCTGGTGTTCATTGTGCCTCTGTCTACAGTGACCTGGTGTTCATTGTGCCTCTGTCTACAGTTACCTGGTGTTCAGCAGCAGTCAACAGTCCAACCATCAGTCCAAACTGTTCTCAGATCTGGTCCATCGCTGTCTGAGCACCGTCCCGTCTCGACTGGAGGTTCCCTTTAACCCAGCAGAGTTCTGGAGCTGCTACAGCTTCCACAACAAGGTAGGACCTGTCTGTCTGTCTCCTTCTTACTGTCTGTCTCTCTGTATGAACCAGCAGACGGTTCACCTGGTAAAGATCAAAACGCTTTGTGTTGATTGGTTCTTCAGGTGGTGACTCTCTACCTGAGCTGTCTGCCGCAGTCCCAGCATGCACTTGTCCTAGAGAGACTGAGATACGCCATGCCCAACAACACTGAACTGGGCCTGAGGTACGCACATACACACTCGCTGTTTCCATGGGGATGAATCCTGTTGTGTTTTTATTGAGCCTGGCTCAGGTTTATAGTTAGGGCCGGCTCAGGTTTATAGTTGGGGCTGGCTCATGTTTATAGTTAGGGCTGGATCATGTTTATAGTTGGGGCTGGATCAGGTTTATAGTTGGGGCTGGATCAGGTTTATAGTTGGGGCTGGATCATGTTTATAGTTGGGGCTGGATCATGTTTATAGTTACGGCTGGATCATGTTTATAGTTGGGGCCGGCTCAGGTTTATAGTTACG